AGTTTGGTGAAATGGTCAAAAAAGTCTACTTCATAAGTTTGAAAGACTTCAGAATTCAGCTTTAAGAAAGATTCTAGAGGCTTTCAGAACTTTTTCAATCTATGCTATGGAAATTGAAGCTGCTATTCCTCCACCCAAAGTGAGATTCAATAAGCTGTGCAGAAACTATGCTTTCAGATTGTTGAAATTGCCAGAAAAACATGCAATTAGAACAAGAGTTTCTTTAAGTTTTTCTCCACATTCAAATGAAATTGAGTTAGATTGGAGAAAGTTTCTGGACTGAAATCAAAATGAGTTGACTCTGGATCATGTTGAACAAACATCTGGAAAAAGAAAGAGAAAAAGAACAAAAAGAATTAAAAAATATCCAAGTCACTTGTTCAAACTTTGTTCTATAATCTCAGATCAGATTCCTTCTCTGAAGATTGAAACAGTAAATCCAGAATGGAATAAATCTTGAAGTTCAAGTTTGAATGAAATCATTGACATTCAAATTGATTCAGCAGAGAAGATACTTGCAAAGAAAAATCATCAACAACTTCTTCTCAATTTGAAAGACTCTTTAACCATGTATTCAGATGAATCACAGTCAGAAAATCTGACTACTGATGCAGATCTTTATATTTCAGAAATAAATCAAAGATTTTCTTGAAAATTGAGCAAATATATGGAAGTGTTTGATGCTGAACTCTTTGCAATTGAAAAGACTTTCTCCAATGCTTTGACTCTTTCAAATTCAAGAATCTTTTCAGAACTATGAGTGTTTTCTGACAGTCAATCTGCCATTCAGAGACTCAATGCACAGAATATGAAAGCTGAACTGTTCTACATTGAGTCAATTAGAAAAATTGCTAAACAACTTGAGTCTAAAGACATTAAGTGTCATCTTCACTGGGTTCCAGCTCACATGGGCATTTTTGACAATGAAGAAGCTGATATTGCTGCAAAGAAAGCAACTGAATTGAGACAAAATTGTGCTGAAAAGTATGTCTTCTTTGCTTACATCAAGAGACAAATTAAAGAAATGGCAATGCTTGAATGATTAGAATATGTATTTGAAAATGAAAGTGATGTAAATCACTACTCTCAATTCAATTCAAAACTAAAGTGGAAAGCATGTTTACTTTCATTCCCCAAACAGATTTGGTCAACAATTATTCAGTTGAAATTGGGTCATGATTACTTTGGTTCTTACTTAATAAGACTATCAAATCATGATAGGGAAATCTGCAGACACTGTGACTGCAAAGAAACATCAAAACATTTGCTCATGGATTGTTTAAATCTAAAGAATGACAGACAACAGTGTTTGAAAGAATTTAAAATTCCACAACTGTCACTTAAGTTTCTATTTAACACTGAATTGGGTTTGAAATGGATGGGAAAGTTTCTCAAACAAACTGAAATAGTCACCAGAAGATGACTTCTGAATGAAACAGACTGAGTATCTTTAAAGATCTCACTTACAATCTCATTATTTGTTTTTAAATTTCTGTGAAGAAAAGACATAAATCACTGCCCTGACACTCTTGTATGTTTTTCATTTGTTAATTTGTCTATGATCATGTCTCTGATCATTGTTTTTGTAACTTAGTTAAATTCTGCAAGACAGCTTGCAGGTAGTCTTCATAGTCTCAGACTGCACAAGACTATAATGAATAATAATAATAATAATAATAATAATAATAAGACGAGAATACTTATAGACAAACATGCTATAACTGAGACTATGGAAAAAACATATGAAAAACCCCTAGCAAACCTCTGCCAGCTCAATAGACAAAGATAATGAAATTGATACCATGATTGAGAAGAGAAGATGGTGAATCTACAGTTCTTCAGTTTCTTCTTCAGAGATCTGATCATCTGACAAGTCATCTGACTCCTGCTCAACAATGTTGGTGATTAAGACTTAGTAAGTCAGAAACATGAAAACTTTTCACTGTGTGAGATTGATGAAGAGCTACCAAAACTGAGTGAATTCTTAATCAGTTTGAAGACACAAGTATTTTTCTCTTGGATATAGATTCTTTGACACAAATGCAATCAATTTCCAACATTTCAGGGCCATAGTGAAGATGATTGTGTTGTGATGATTAGATAAAGTGTCTAAGTAGTCAAAACTGGCAACTCAGTCTTTGGTGTGAGATTTCCCACCCACCACAGTGAATTGCCAGGTGAAAATGAAGAGAATAACTAAGTGAAACAAGAGCTTTCCAATGAATATATTTTCATTAAATTTCACTTAGAATTGATGGTGTTCCATATCAAGTGCTGTGACGCAGTACGAGGAATTTCGGTATGGTACTGTTTTAAAATCACATGTTTTTTAATTGGCTGGCTTTGCCCACTCAAGAGATGCTGGGCTGCAGAGTTCTTCTCAAAATATCCCAGTTAAGACCCTCAATTTTACGGCCACCCAACGAGTCCAGCTTCCCAAGATCACCTAGAAACCCTACTGAAATGCGTCGCATCAAAACCGTTTCTCTCGCTCCGAAAAAATCTTTGGCCTTCCCACGTAATAGACAATCCTCAAACCATTCAGCTTCGGTTTCATCAAATGGTAGATTCACCAATCTCATGGCATTCTCTGTCCGTATCTCGTTTTGCTTAATAGAGAGAACAGATATGATCATCTGATCAACTAGCGCATGTCGGGTACTGATGGGTTGTTTGCGAGTAAAATCGAAGGCTAAAGCGAGCCTTGTTCGACACAACATAGTAAAATAGGCGAATAGAACTTTGCTCGAAGTCAGGGGCGGGGAGACGCTTATGTAATACGCAACGGCCAGGGCATCGTCCTGTGAAACTGTTAAAAGGGCATAGAGGATTTCGTCTGGAAATGTGGGAATGAGAGAGGGTTCAGTAAGATGCTTCAGTGCGCTCTAAAAGGTTACATAAAGTTAGCCACTGCATAAACAGAACAGGCTGCAATGATAGACTCACACGAAATTCCAATCCATCCAATTGCCAAAGACCGTCTATGAATAGCCTATAGTGCTGCGGTAGATAACACTGCTGAACAAAATGTAGGCTGCGGGGTGTATCGCTTGCATCTTGGCAGTCTCGAAGGAGGTAATATATCACGGATTGTTTGTAATGATTCGGCGAGGACGATGATATTACTTTCCTATGGAGTTTCCTGAGGGTCTCGATTGATTTCGGGGGATACAAGGTCGATGCTGAAGCAAGGATTAGTAGAGCAAATCATTAGGGTCGGAGTAAAGGGAGTTGTAGTCGTACCAGATTCAATTCCTAGGAATAGGAGGAGGCGGTCAATGAAAAGGATGTTGTGGAGAACCTTTCGGTTCGCAAGGATTTGGTTTACTAATTCCACGCTGTAGGGATTATTACTAAAGCTGAAAGTGATGTCGAAGCTCTCCCAAGGCGCCATGTTGTTGATGCTAACTTCGGGTGTTTTAATATGATATACTCAGTGAGCCGAGAAATATCTCTGACTCGAAGGGAGGGGCGAACAGAAAACAAATAAATGGATTTGTAAAAAGTCTGTACGGCTGCATTGGGTGTGCAATACTCCGTACTCCCCAGAGAACAAGTCATCACCTATTACTACGGGTCCCCCATAGGTTACCTCATCATCTCTGACGCGTGCTGTTAAGGTTCTTAAGCGCGAATTTGGTGATTTGGGCTAGCCCATTTGGGTAATTTGGCCATAACCTGACCAGCACAGTGTCTGAGCCAGTTTTCAGCTTTTTTGCAAAAAGTTGAAAATCATCATACAAATTTAGAAATTGCAAACTGAGTCAGTGACTCAGTATCATGCATGTTGAATATATCATATCACAACTTCATGAATACTTGTTTGTCATTGAAATTATATTCCTTTAAAACTCTTTACTCTCTTCAACCTATGCCTCAATTTTAATACAAAATCATAGTGTGATGAATCATGAATCATGATAGAGCAATTACAGTTCAAAAACTGAATCATTATTTTAACTGCTTAGATACTTTTTCTTATCATTACAGTGTATTCACATCAGCTACAGCTCTGAAAGCTTCAAAACTGCTTGTGTTTAAGATAAATAATATATATTTAAAAGAAAAATATTTACATTTACAAACTCAGCAAAAATTCACTCAGTTTTGCTCTTTCTTTATTAGCTTTTTTCTGACTTACTAAGTAATCATTACTAATATCAGATCAAAGTGTTAGAACAGCAGAATACTGTCAAAACTTCAGCAGAATATAGAAATTGAATCACAAGTCAGTTAAAACAAGATCTTTTCAAATTCAGTTTCATATCTATGATTTTCTGATCAATTTGCTATCACTCTGATAATTGATTGATTTTCTGCAGCTCAAATATCCACTTTCAGAAAGTCAAAACCATTTGTCACTGGTAGATTGACTGTCAGAAGTGGAATTTCCTAGCTAAAATTCCATCACTAACAAATTTCATAGAGAATTGAGACAAAACTGAAACTTGATAATTCAAACTGAGAAGTACTGAAACTTGGGTTCAATGTACTGATTTCTGAAATGAAAATGAAATCTAATATAAAATAGATTTAGACTATTTAAATTATTAGAGACAGAAATATGAGATCTCCAAAAACTTAAAATAAAATTTTATTTTATACTACTTTTAGTATCAAAATCATATAAATATATATATATGCATCTTGACTTAAATATTTTGATGTAAAAATACACTTTTAAAATAAACTTTGAAAAAATATTAAAGTTATTTCAGTTTCTGAAAATTTTTTGAAGAAGATCTGAAACTTAAACATTTAAAATTGAAAAGAAAATGAAACTTTTATCAGTATTTTGAGAGAAGATTGAAACTTATCACAAAATTTTAAAAGAGAAATGGAATAAACTGACTTATACTGTTCTCCAATCTTAGTTTCTGAGAAATGTCTATAGAGATTTGTGTAATCAGTCTATAATTCCATTTAGACTGATTAATAAAATCAGAATTTTCCAGCTGAGATTTCATCTCTCATAAATTTTATAGAGAATTGAAATGAAACTGAGACTTAATGATTCAAACTGAAAAGTACTGAAACTGTACTAAAATGGGAATGGAACTTAATTTAAAGAGATTGAGATTATTTATGTGAGAATATAGCATTCTCAAATATAATCAAATTTATATACTATATATTGTCTTAAATAACATGTGTATAACATGTATAACTTCTATAACATTTACAGAGTCATATACATAAATCTTGATTAAATATAAACTTTGATTTGTAATTCTTTTGGAATTAGTTCAAATCTTATTATATAAAAGTTTATTTCAAACTTTATTTCCCAATAGAGTTACAGCAATAAGGTTACCACTATAGTATTGCTTGTATAAATTATTAATCAAGAAAAGAATAATAAATTGAGATGGCAAATTACATCATAATATGATATTACATCATATAGAATGTCATCATATATGACATCATCAATAACATTCTAAAATTTAATGTTGCATAGTTTATTTTCAAGATTAATAAACTATTGCACATTATATTCAACTTTAACAAGTTTTATAATCAGTTATACCAACTTTCTATAAATCTACATCATAGATATTCTGGTTTATAGAAAGTATCAGCCACTGAAACCAGAATTTATAAAATGTCTCATATAATAATTCAGTTTTCTAAAAAGTATAACTACTTTTTACAAAACTATTGCAAGTATTGCACAATATATGGCATCATACTGCATCATACTGCATCATACATTACATCACACATGATGTAACAGTTATAAATCAAGACAAATATGCCATAACTTACATAACTCAAACTCTAAACTCACAGTCTATAAATAAGATCAAAACTCTCACTGTCAAAAACTTCTTTGAATATTTATTGACTATTTCTTCTATATTATTATTTTCTGAACTCTATTATCACTGTTCTCACTCTACTCATTCACAAAAATCTTATATATAACTACATACTTATATATTAATATATATTTATATAGTTATTAGTAAGTATATTCTACAGTCTACTAACTAAGCTTTTGTTGTATGAGCTTCTACTGCATATTGACTTGCTCACAATATTATACTGAGCATTTTTAAAAATAATTCTTTTGTTATAGTTACTATATTCTGACTTTTTTCAAGATCCTCTGATACTTCTAGTAATATTCAGTAACTTAATCTTATCATATAAGATCAAGATCTATTAAGTCACTTCACAATATCTGAATTTCTGAAAACAATTCAACTCACATCATATTAATTGTGCACTGATAACATTCATGTTTGAAATTCATAATTATTTGTTGAAACATCTGATGATCATTCATCTGGACATCTGAAGATCTGCAAACAGTGTAATAAATGATTTGAGCTCTATTCACAGATTCTCAGATGTTCAGACATGTGATCATCAGATGTCTTTACTGACAATTACTGATTTCAAACACAGATGTTATCAGTGCACAATTGATATGATGTGAATTGAACTGTTTTCAGATGTTGTAAAGTGGCTCAACAGATCTTGATCTTGTATAATCAAATTAAGTTACTGAATATTACTAAAAGTATCAGAAGATCTTGAAAGAACTTGAAATGTATTAACTGTAACAAAACAGTTACTTACAAAGATGCTCAGTATGATGTTATAAGATGGCAGATGGTCATACTTTTCTACTATCTGATTACTTCTGATAAGAATCAATAAGAAATCACATCAACAGTGATGTAGATTACATTCATCTATTCTGCTGCATCACTTCAAAGCTGTTGTCAGAAATATTCATTATTTTGTTGCTACTAATAGATGTCAGTGACAAATAATATTAATAACAATGTAGATTACATTCATTTATTCTGCTGCATCACTTCAATGTTGTTGTCAGAAATATTCATTGTTCAGTTGCTACTGATAGATGTTAGTGACAAACAATATGAACAATGATGTAGATTATTTCTGTCTACTATACTGTCTATCACTTCAATGTTGTTGGAAGTATTTATTATCTGCTACTGATAGCATATATCAGAATGCAGATATATTTGGTATTTATTATAGACTGATCATAGAGACAGAGATTTTCCAAATGAAATCTCAGCTCTAATACACTAATGAAAAATTGAAATGAAACTGAAACTTGAGTTTCAAGTACTCAGATGAGAATGAAACTTAATTTAAAGAGATTGAGATTATTTAATTAGAGATAGAAATCTTAAATTTCCATAAACTTAAAATAAAATGTTATTTTATACTATTTTTAGTACCAAAATCATATACATATGTATATATGCATTTTGACTTGATTTGCCAATTTTTCTATTTTGTCATATTTTGGTGTAAAAATACACTTTCAAAATAAAGTTTGAAAAAAAATTAAAGTTCTTTTAGGGATAGGAAGATTCAGAGATGGAACTAATATATAAAATTTGAAACTGGGAAGAAAATAGAACTTTTATTCATATTTTGAAATGGAATTGAAACTAACTTTTAAATTTTGAGAAGGGATTGGAATCAACTCAATTGAAATTGACATTCAGTCTTGTTCCATCAAAATTCCAAAGAAATCTCAATGATCAGTCTAATTTATTATTCAAGATATTGTCTTATTATTGACATTCTAATTACATGCTTCTAGTTTATACTGATGCCCACCAGTTGGTCTGCAACATGAAGGCAAGTGGAGAGCTAGCACAAACATTTGATTTTGAATTTACATATAAGATTGATGAAAATGCAATAAGTAAAGATGATAGTCATCATGAATTTACTGTTGTATGTCTATTAAATGAGGTGCATAAAACATGAGACTAACTGTTATTAGTTAGATGTTACTGATAACAACTCAATACAATTGATTGTTCAAGATAGATTCTTACAGTGCTCAGTTCATATAAAAATTAAACATGTTCAGTTTCTATCACAATATTCAAACACTGAGATATATGGCTATATATATTGTGTGAACACAGAAGAAATGTCAACTGAAAATATTCAGCAACTACATTCAATGATATTTATTTAATGACAGCTAATGGTAACTAAACTTTACCAACATAAACTAAATACAATATGAACATGAAAAGCAAAATGATTATATTACATGATGAGCTCATTCTCCATTTCTTAATGTTTGATGCAAAGTTATTAAATATCAGTGTTCTGATGTCAAGATTTGTTCAAAAGCAAGATCAGAGCTTTGCCAGATTGAACATACACAATTACACATGTTATCAATCATGCACAGCTTGATATGAAAATAACAGAGCATCTATCAGAACTTACTAATAAGACTTAGTTAGAACTAAATAATATTTCTAATGAACATATCATCTGAAATTAATTTAAGTTCTGATGTCAATCACATCAAGAAATATGCAGTAAGTCAGAATGTTACAGTAATTAATTGCACATTGACTGATGAAGACAGACATA